GTGTAAATTTTTAATGTAGTTTTTGGTTTAGCCTTCCATTTCCTTTTTTTTTTTATGTAAAGTTACAGAAGTATGACAATTGTGTATTGTATGTGTGTAGTTTCTCTTTTTTCATAGATCATTATGTATTCTACACTTTCCTACACCTTGCTGAGTATATATTTACTTAATGGTATATTGTTGAGATCACTTAATTGGGAGTATATAAAAATAGTTTTATTCCTTTTAATAAGTTCACCATATCTCATTGTGTGGCTATACCATGAATTATTTCAACATTCCCCTGTTAATGGACATTTGAATTGATTCTAGGCTTTGTTGTTAAACATAGGCAGAGTGCTGCCTTGAATAGCTTCATATGTACATCTTTACCTGTATTTGCTACATTATATTTTGGTTAGAATTCTAGAAGTGCTATTACAATATGTCATTTTGCTAGGTAGGGCTAAATTCCTATTTCTAGGGGCTCTTATTTTGCATTACCATGAGCAATCAATTTAACAGATTCTCCAACAGATTTACACTTTTCTGTTTTATGAGATGTTAAAGACATTGTTTAAGAATCTATTCCATGTGTGTGTGTGTGTGTGTGTGTGTGTGTGTGTGTGTGTGTTACAAGGTCATTGCTCTTGTGAACATTGCAACCATCTCTGGTTTCCCACTTAGTCATTTACTTGCAATATGTTGCTATTTTCCCCATCAAGCCCATTTAAATAATGGTTAGACATAGTTGAAATGGTATTATTGTAACAGGGCTTAAGGTACATTATAATCATAATAAATTTCTAGTTGGGCCTAAGATACTAATTACTATTTAAAATGTTTTCAAGAGGAAAAGTAATATGGTTTTCTATTAGATTACATACTCTTTTTTCAGCTAGGATTCCTCATATGAAACACAGAACTTAGAAATTCTTCAGTTTTACTGAGAGTCGTTCATAATGAGTATCATTATAGAAGTGTAGGAGAGAAGTTTGTCATCTATAATTTATGCCTTGGGCCAGGCATTAAGACTTGATTCTCTTATAACCCTATGAGGAATAGTTTTTTTTCCTCTACTTTATTATTATTTTTTTAAATTGACTTCAGAGAGAGTAAGGGAGAGGGAGAAAGAGATAGAAACATCAGTGATGAGAGAGAATCATGGATCAACTGTCCCCTGCACACCTCCTACCAGGGATCCAGCCCGAAACCCAGGCCTGTGCTCTGACCAGGAATGAAACCATGACCTCCTGGTTTATAGGTCGATGCCCAACCACTGAGCCAAACTGGTGGGCTTTCCCTCTCCTTTCTATTTCTCCCTCGCATCCCCTCCTTTGCAGTCAGAAGAGACTGAATGAAGGCCGCAGGCACTAGGCCAGCGGTGGGCAAACTATGGCCCGCGGGCTGGATCCGGCCAGTTTGAAATGAATAAAACTATTGGAAAAAAAAGACCGTACCCTTTTATGTAATGATGTTTACTTTGAATTTATATTAGTTCACACAAACACTCCATCCATGCTTTTGTTCCGGCCCTCTGGTCCAGTTTAAGAACCCATTGTGGCCCTCGAGTCAAAAAGTTTGCCCACGTGCTCGCATCGGCAGCACATATACTAAAATTGGAACGATACAGAGAAGATTTGCATGGCCCCTGCGCAAGGATGATACGCAAATTCGTGAAGCGTTCCATATTTAAAAAAAAAAAAAATAAAAGTTTGCCCACCCCTGCACTAGGCCTTAGCTTTGTCTAGAGCAGTGGTCGGCAAACTCATTAGTCAACAGAGCCAAATATCAACAGTACAACGATTGAAATTTCTTTTGAGAGCCAGATTTTTTAAACTTAAACTATATAGGTAGGCACATTGTTATTAACTTAATTAGGGTCCTCCTAAGCTGGCCTTTGCTAAAAACGTCCTCAATATGATTGAGGTACGTTCACTGAGGTCGACCCCTTCCAACTCTCCTATCCACACTCGTCTTGTATACTTGTTTCGTCTATCTCCTTTCCGGAAACCGACTTCTGCACAGGGGCCACGAAGTTTCATTCGCACTGTACATGGTATTTTGTGGAAGAGCCACACTCAAGGGGCCAAAGAGCCGCATGTGGCTCACGAGCTGCGATTTGCCGACCACTGATCTAGAAAGTTCTTTGTGTTGAGATTAAATCTTTATCTTGGAAATTTAAATTCTTCGATCTTAATTTTACTTCAAATTCAAAACAAATATATTCTCTTGAACCTTAGAGCCTTTGACGTATTGATTACAGTATTTATGTATTAAAGCATCCTACTGGAGCCATAAACTCATTCCCAAGTAACTTGAGACTTTCTTTTTCACTGTAATGGGATATGACATTTCATTCAACCTCAAGTGATTGATTTGCTTTTGTTGTGTTGTTTTGTTTTGTTGTTGTTTTTTTAAGTGAAAGGAAGGCCTACTTTTCTGGAATAGTTTAAATCGGTGCTTTTCAAATGATCTGAAGTAAAAGACCATCTCAAAAAAATAAAATCTAATAACATTTCTTATCAGAGAAATGGAATTCCTAAAATATGTAAATTTAAACCTATTTAGAACTTTTTATGTCACAGGCAAAATTATCCAGTTAGAATGCTGTAACTGTTTCGCACACAATCCTGATTTCTATACGTGGAAGCTACACTGCCAAGCAGCACTGGCTGGAATGGTTCAGATTCCAGCTTGTCACATGCTCTGCCGGGTTCTCAGAACTGTCAACTAGCCCCGGGGTCCTCTCTTCTGCTTCTGTCCACTCTTCTCACCCTCTTGTTTTTGCTGTGCATATTTTTAAAATAAAATTTATGTTAGAATATTGACATTTTTGTTCATTTGGTTACAAGTTCATGAAAATTCAGTGTTTTTTCAGATTGGATAGTGTTTCCATACCCTTATAGTAGAGTCACTGCCCACATTGATTAACAAAGATATGAAGAATTAGAAATAAACACTGTAGTAGTATTTATTTTAAAGTGCAGTTATTAAATTTTGCGAAACACTCTTTGAGGGGTAAAAAGATGTACCCATTGACAATAAACCTTTGTTTTCATTAGTAAAGTAGCACTTTACGTAACCTGTAAAGCTTGAGCTAATTACTCTGCCACAGATCTAATACCAAGAAGAGTTAATTACCCATGCCTAATGAAATGAGGCATGAGTTTCAGTGAACTGGGAGAGTCCATTTTATCACTAGATGCTGTTAATGATTCTTTTAAAATTAAGACTTGATTGGATTGCAGTCAGTTTAGTTAAGGAATATGTGAGCACCTTGCAGTTGTGTGGTCTGTAACAAATTTTCTTTTTAAAGGGCTCAGTTTTCTGTTGACAGAATTGCTAATGGAATGTTGCTTATGTTATATTATTCTGCATCAATTGATCAGGGAACTTCGATTGGAAAGTTTTTCATACATAAATATTTTTTGGCATCTATCTTTATTGTTAAAAGTATTACAGATGACCCCTTTTCCACCAATTCCCCTCCTCACCCTGCTCCCACTCCCTCCCCAGGCCTTCACCTTCATTAATATGACTGAACGGTCTTATCCATTTCAGTCATATTAATGAAAAATTATTAGACTGAAAAATTCATAAGCCTAGTGACCCATCCTATTCTGTGCTAGTTTATTTTTATATTTACTCCTTTGGTTATGAAAGGTCACTGTTTAAAAATATTACATTGTTTTTCTTTTTATTTTAACCCTTTGCGGTCGTATTAAATTTGGACATGGGTTTCGTACTGGTCGGAATTAATTTCCATTGAAAGAGCCGTGATACATAACATGCAAGATTATGAAGGATCAACAAGATTTATTAATTCTTTTTTGGAACTACGTCACCACTAGTAGAATCACTACAAACGTTATCACTTTCTACGTCAGAGTCAGTATTCAAGGTGCCAAAATAAAACTCTTCATTACTTTCAGATTCGCAGTACACTTCTTTCGGTAACTTTCTTTTTGCCATTTTGGAGTATTATTTTGAAATATCTTAACTAGCGAGAATGCCTAATTACAGTTAAACGTAATTTGTAAAGCTTTATTTGAAATTCTTCGAAGTATCTCCGAAGCTTGTCAATTTCTTCACTCTTAAAAGGCGACTCACTCGCCACGGTGTTTTGCATGGCGAGCGTGGAACGACCGCGTTTGTTTATATTGAGTTTCGATATCTCCGATTTGTCGGGGCAATGTTTTGGTTCGTGACAAGGTCGCTCAGACGCTTAAGAGCTTTCAGAGAAATTATGAACTGATACATGAATGAATAGAGTTAAGATTCGTACGGTTCCTTGCTGTGGTGGCTGAGAGCAGACATACGACCGGAACGGTAAAAAAGCTTTGGTGGCTGATAGACAAACGACCGCAAAGGGTTAAAACATGTTAATTTTTAAAATATATTTTTACTGATTTCAGAGAGGAAGGGAGAGGGAGAGAGAAATAGAAACATCAATGATGAGAGAGAATCACTGATTGGCTGCCTCCTGCATACCCTCTGTGGGGATTTAGCTCGCAACCTGGGCATATGCCCTTGGCTGGAATCGAACCTAGGACCCTTCAGTCCATAGGCCGAAAAAGTTGGAAGAGTGCTACAATGAATTCCTGTATACTCTTCACCAGATTTGCCATTTTAAAAAACATTTGTACAATTCTGAGCCCTGTATGTGCTTTGTCTCTGTTTATACATGTATATGTATATACATATACTTGCACACACTGGCAGATTTCATATTTACAAATTCGCCTACTTGCTAAAATTTATTAGTAATTCCTAAATTAATAAGTGTGGCTCATGATTTCGCAGTCATTTATGGACATGTTCAGATTAGCAGAATGATTTGAGTCACCTAACACTCTTGTTCTCAGCTGAGGTTGAATAAGGTGACACCAGTTTTCTTTCTTCAGCTCTCATACTGTGACTAAGAGTCCCTTTCATTGTGCATTTTGTGCTATGTTGTTGCATATTTGTGCTATTTTTTAGCAATTTCAGTGTTAAAATGCCGCCCCCACCCCCCATAGTGGTGGCTGCTGTCCAGTATTTCCGAGCACAAGAAGGCTGCCATGCACGCGCTGGAGAAGCTTCATTCAGGAGTGGCCTTCAGTGCTGTGGGCTGTGAGGTCAGTGTCATGAATCGATAGTACGGGTTAAATGAGATGTCTTTAAACATAAGCACACAAACAGGGTTATATCGATTGGTTGATGAACGTGTGACTAGAGGCTGGCAGGAGCATAACCTTGTATTTCTTCTAGGAGCAAACCTTGTATTTCCTCAGGAACAGTGGTTCAGTATTCTCTAATTCAGTCTTTGCACTGACTTCATAGAACATCATTAAGGAGAATGGACGTGTGTGTGTGTGTGTGTGTGTGTGTGAGAGAGAGAGAGAGAGAGAGAGAGGGGGGGGGGGGGGATGATTCTGCCCCAGAATCCTGGCCAGATCACACATTGCACTGGTGTCTGATTTGGAATTGTTTCTCAGCTTATAGTCCTTCATGATTTGCACTTTTCTTTCTCAGGGTTAGATACAGGCTATGCATTTTTGGTAAGAATATTTTTTAAAAGTGATGTGTCCTCAGCACATCATATTAGCAGATACGTCAGTTCCTTTTTATATGTTAACTTTGATCATTTGGTTAAAATGGTATCAGTCATATCTTTTTACTGTAGAGTTAACTCCCCTTTTAAATTAATAATCGAAGGGGATACTTTGAAACTTTGTAAATATCCCGTTTCCAACAACATCAATTAGTTGACATTCAGTTGTAATGAAGATACTGCCTGTCATTTCTGATAGGTTAAGATCTCTTTCTATATCACATTATTCCTCCTGCCACCCCCCTTGTTGATTTTAGAATTTCTGTCCCCTGACTGGAATCTGTGATTTCCAGACTGCATTTTTCCTGGGACTTGGTGGAGTGGAGGTGAGGGGGTGGTAATGACAGCAATGCTGTGGTGTTGGTGGTGGTAAGGCTGCAACACACTGAGCACTTACTATGACTTAGGTGCTGCTTTATCAGCCCATGTGAATTAGCCCATTTAATCCTCAGGCAGCCCCGTGAGGCAGCTGCTGTTGCTGTTCTCATTTTATCCATGAGAAAATGGAGGCCTAGGGAGGTTACCCAACTTTTGATAAACTGGCTTGTGAGCTGCCTAATAAGATTTGAACTCAGCCTGGCGTGAGTGTACGAGTTTAATCACTGCATTGTGCTTTTCCTTACTTCTGTTCTTTCTGTGTTTCTCCGGCAGCCAGAGCGAATTTGTAAATAAATAATCCTGCCATGTGTTTCCATGTCTTTAGTAAGAGCCAGCTCTTCAGGCTGCTCTGCAAGGCATCTCTTCCGTTTGTCACTTCAGCGACTGAACTCCTGCCTGTCCATTCTTGAATGTGCTGATGCTGTCAGTGTAGGGCTTTGGTCTCACTAGTCCCTTTGCCTGGAATACTCTTACCCTGGTAGCTGTAACTTGACCCCTACTTTATTCTCCTCCTCATAGTGTTACTAGAGGCCCGGTGCATGACATTTGTGCACTGGAGGGGGAGAGGGTCCCTCATCCCAGCCTGCACCCTTTAGTCGGACATCCTTAGTCGGAGGCAGGAGAGGCTCACGCCATTGCTGCTGCTCTCTCCAGCCGTCAGTCCAGCTTGTGGCTGAGTAGTGCTCCCCCTGTGGGAGCGCACTGACCACCAGGGGACAGCTCCTGCCCCTGGTTGTCCATGCATGTCATAGCGACCAGTTGATTTGCATATTACCCTTTTATTATTTAGGACTAGAGGCACGGTGCACAAAAAGTTGTGCACTGCGGGGGGGCGTCCCTCAGCCCGGCCTGCGCCCATTTGCAGTCCAGGACCCCTTGGGGGATATCCACCTGTCAACTTAGGCCCACTCCTCAGGGGATCAGGCCTAAGCTTGCAGTCAGACATCCTTCTGGCAGCCAGGGAGCCCTCGGGGGATGTCCGACTAAAGGCTTAGGCCCCCAAGGGATCGGGCCTAAACCGTTAGTTGGACATTCTTAGTGCTGCCACGGAGGTAGGAGAGGTTCCTGCCACCACCTCTGCGCCATGTCATGAGCCAGCTTCTGGCTGAGTGGCACTCCGCATATGGAAGTGCAATGACCACCAGGGGGCAGCTCCTGCATTGAGCATCTGCCCCCTGGTGGCCAGTGCGCATCATAGCAACCGGTCATTCTGCCATTCAGTCAGTTTGCACATTAGCCTTTTATTATTATATAGGATGTCCCAATTCCCCCCCGTTTTGCCCCTTCTACCCAGCTCTTGCCCCCCACTTCTCTCTGTCCATCACCATACGGTTGTCTGTGTCCATGGGTTGTGCATATATTTTCTTTGGCTAATCCCTTCTTTAAATTCACTTATTTAAATTTTTATTTTCAGATAAGTGCTTATAACTGCACTATTATATATTTTCTATTATATCATTTAGAATTAAGATATTTTTTAATTGAACCCTTGTAAATTTTAGCACAATTTAATAAATTATGCTAGAAGCAATTAGGAGATTTTTCATGTAATGCAGATATATTTCAATTAATATTTTATTTATTTTTAATATTTTAATTTGAAATAATCTCATACATGTAAAAGAAACTATAAAATACTACAGCATATTATATGTACCCTTCACCCAATTTCTTAGGTGTTAATAATTTAAACATAACCATTATACAACAAAATTTGGAATGTATTTTTCTTATAACCTCTTTAATGTTACTTAATCCATTTACTTTGTTTTTGTTAATCTTCACCCAAGGATATTTTTCCATTGAATTTTAGAGAGAGTGAAGGGAAAGGGAGAGACACATTGATTGGTTGCCTCCTGCACATGCTCTGACAGGGACTGGGGATCAAGCCAGCAACTGAGGTACATGCCCTTGACTGGAATCAAACCTGGGACCCTTCAGTTCACGGGCGAATGCTCTATCCGCTGAGCAAAATATAGGCTGCAGCTTAATTCATTTACTTTTAATCTATATGTATCTTTATATTTAAAGTGGGTTTTGTTTTTAATTCACCTTCATAATCTGTCATTTAATTGGTGCATTTATGCCACTGACTTTCAGAGTGCTTACTGATAGTTACTACCGTATCAGGTGGCTTCTGGGGCCGGCCTGCGACCTGGGATCGGATCTGATCGCAGGCGGTAGGCAGGCAGCTTCTGGGGTCGCACACGGGGGCCTGGATGGCGGCTCACGCTGTCCCGCCCTGCCTGCAGTATGCAAATTTAGCTGCCATCTTTGTTAGTGGTTAATTTGCATATTGTGCTGATTAGCCAATGGGAGGTGTAGCGAAGGTACAGTCAATTACCATGTTTGCCTATTATTACATAGGATAGGATTTTCAAATACCTTCCATGTTGTCAATCCCATCTTATCACCTAAACCATCAGACCATTCTTACTGCCCCTTACACGTGTTATTCACAAGTTTTTTAACACGTAGAATATTTCTTCTACCTTTCGAAGTTTGCTAAGTAATTTAAGTTGTGTGGTTTTTTAAAAAATTTCTTTACTCTGGACCAGACAGAAAACTGGGAGGTTCTTATTCTCGAACTTAACTTAGAAAGGAAGACAGGAAATAAACAGGTAAGGAAATGATCAGGACAGTTTAGATCAGGGGTCCTCAAACTACAGCCCGCGGGCCACATGCGGCCCACCGAAAACATTTATCCGGCCCACCAGGTGTTTTTGCCGCTGCTGTGTGCATAGGAATTTGTTCATAGTTTTTTTTTAAACTATAGTCCGGCCCTCCAACGGTCTGAGGGACAGTGAACTGGCCCCCTGTTTAAAAAGTTTGAGGACCCCTGGTTTAGATAGTGACATAATAAGTGTGGTCATTGTAGGTAGCTGACACGGGAGGCTAAGGGCTGAATGTTTCCGGGTGAGATGAAAACAAGGCAAAGGCACTGAGACAGGAATGAGAACTGTCTCAGGAATGACAAGGGCAGAATGGGTGGGGAGAGTGGGAAGAAAGGTTGGAGAGGGGTCTGGACAGACAACCTCTCTGTACACTTGGAAAGGAGTTTGACTTTTATTGGAAGGCATGGAGGGTTTAAGCCGGAGTGGCATGATCTGACACTTTTTAAAAGCATTGTCTTGAGACAATCAGAATAGATTGTACAAGGGTGTGGGGGTTTGGGTAAGGGTTGAAGCGGTGGGATTTGCCAGTAGGTGCTTGCAGTTATCGAGGTGGGAGAGAGAGTGGTATGATCTAGTCCAGTGATGGCGAACCTATGACGCGGGTCAGAGGTGACACGCGAACTCATTTTTTGGTTGATTTTTCTTTGTTAAATGGCATTTAAATATATAAAATAAATATCAAAAATATAAATCTTTGTTTTACTATGGTTGCAAATATTAAAAAGTTTCTATCTGTGACACGGCACCAGAGTTAAGTTAGGGTTTTTCAAAATGCTGACACGCCGAGCTCAAAGGGTTCGCCATCACTGCCCTAGCAGCTTTCTCCAGATTTATTTCGTTTCAGCACTGGTGGAGTACTTCATTCAGCCTCTGCTAGTCTTCCTTCCTGAATTCCCAAAGCCACTTGTTCCCTAGATACACAATTCAGTCTGTAGTTACATTGTTGCTTCCTGTTTCCTTACCAGGTGCAGAAAAATTTACTTAAATATAAACAACTGATGCATGACTTAAATTACAAAAAAGAGAAAGGCAGGGCATTTTGCAAGAATGTCAGTGGCTATAGCAGTTTTTCAAGTCACACCCATAGACACAGGTAACAGTTTTCATCTTCCTGGGGTGCCTCCCTCCAGAACATACATGGTTCTTCACACGATGCCTGCGAGAAGCGTATAAAGCAAACCCATAAAGTAAGATGAAACGAGTTTCTCAACAAATGGTTGGAACATTCAGAAACAAGAGTTTATATTCTGTTAATAGGTGTCATTTAGCAGAAAGTTTTAAATTGTATATTTAAAAATTTTTTCAACACGTCTGGAAGTAACCCTAAACAATATTAGTTTAGGGTGTGTTCTCTCTTCGTCAATTTACCATGCCTCCCCATCCTGCAAACATGTACTAGGTTGACGAGAGATTTATTCTAAGGATGTGTTTTGAAAGTTTTAACATTTAACAAAACCCAAGGCATTTGAGG